AACATTCACGTGATGGACATTCAGTTGGAACATTCACGTGATGGACATTCAGTAGGAACATTCAGTTAATGGACATTCAGTAGGAACATTCACGTGATGGACGTTCAGTAGGAACATTCACGTGATGGACATTCAGTAGGAACATTCACGTGATGGACGTTCAGTAGAAACATTCAAGATGTATATTCAAGTGTAGAGGTTGTCATTGAAGTCAGTAAATGTAATTTTTTTTGAAGCAGAACATTTAATATTTAGTTTCTCCATGTTTTGTCAAGTGAAGTGTACTACATTGAGACTTTCTAAATATTTGCTATTAGAATGCACTATTGCCTGTATGGATTAGGTTTATTCAATTAAAAGATTTCATTGTTCCTGTTATGATTTAGTGGCAGTAATAGGGTTAAGTTTGATTTATATAAAAGTTTTGTTTTTACACTGTTTAAGCTCTGTTTTATCTGTAAACAACATATGCACAGTAAAGTGTTTTTGCATTTTAAGCTGGCTTGGCATTGTTTATATTTTACAGCAGTCACAAATTAAGTATGATTATTTATATGGAAATACTATAATTGTACAATACATCTACATTTTACAGTAGTCACAACTTAAATAGGGTTATTTATATGAAAATACTATAATTGTACAATACATCTACATTTTACAGTAGTCACAGTTGTATGATCATTTATATGGAAATATGATACTTGGGCAATATGTCCATTATTTACTATAGTCTCTCAACAAACGCAGATGTCACCAATACCTTATTCTCTACTAACTGGAAAACGGCTTTTCCCACAAAATTCACATTCTTCTCTGTTCTTGAAAAATGCAGACAAGTTGACCATCAATTGTTTTTAAAAGGTTTTTGTTGCGTATAGATTATTTGAAGTTTTTGTTTTTAAGTGTATTGTTGATATTCCAAGTACGACAAACACATTATTTTAATTTAATAGAAAAATAATTTTATGATATTTTTACCTAAATACAAATAATTCAGGACAGTCTACTGGAAATCTTGCAAAATATTTTCAAACATATGCATGTCTGTCTTTTTCAAATTTAGTTATTGTTTTTTTTTTCAGTTTATTTTTGAAAACAAAATTGGAAATAAAATCAGCTTTATGGATGTTTACATTTCATTCTGATGCCTGGGTAATGAAGCTGTAATGTTTGTGTATTTTGTGTGTTTGTAACAAAAGTTCAAGGCACAAGATTTGTTGGACATTTTTCTGGAAGTTTAGTGTTCTGTGGAAGTTTTAAGATGATTCTAGTAATTTTATAATCATATTTAATATTCTTGTTACATCTTTCAGCTGTCTGACGTTGTTGTATATACCTCAGAAGGTACCTCAGATTGTTACAAATGGATTTGAATCTTGGAGCAGTAGCACCCAGCTGCTTCAGGTATAACTATAATGTGTTGTATCAGTTTGTAACCTCAAAGGGTTTTCATTAGCACTGACAAGTTCATCTTTGAAACAATATTGCCACTATTGGAATTAAGTACACAAATACAATAAATTAATGTGTGCATAATATGTAACTTTTCACTTGGAGTCACATGTGTGTCTGCATAGACAAGTAATTAAATATCATCAGGATTTGTTTCTGATAATATTATGTTAAAATATAACTCGATCAAATGTGATAAGAATGGTGGTTTTGTTGTGAACTTCATATTTCCAGTGATGGTAAAACTTTTTTCAATTTGTTTAACCAAACTTACCACAGTGTGTACTATATAATGAGATGTTGATTATGCTTTTGTGTTCATTAGAACTTAATCGTAGGTTTTATGTTTTAATTAATAAAATGAGAAAAAAGAACTTTGCTGTAATTCTAACAAAAATAAAATTTTAATATTTATATCCTTCCATGGAGATTTTAATATTTATATCCTTCCATGGACATTTTAATATTTATATCCTTCCATGGAGATTTTAATATTTATATCCTTCCATGGACATTTTAATATTTATATCCTTCCATGGAGATTTTAATATTTATATCCTTCCATGGACGTTTTAATATTTATATCCTTCCATGGACGTTTTAATATTTATATCCTTCCATGGACATTTTAATATTTATTTCCTTCCATGGAGATTTTAATATTTATATCCTTCCATGGACGTTTTAATATTTATTTCCTTCCATGGACGTTTTAATATTTATATCCTTCCATGGACGTTTTAATATTTATATCCTTCCATGGACGTTTTAATATTTATAATATATAAAACTAAAATGTTGATATTGTATGTAATTATGTTATAGGTTTGTAGAATAAGAACTAGAACAAATTTGTAGGGATTATTGAATTATAAATAAAATAATGATAATGATAAAGCTAATTAAAGCAATAAACCATTTTAAACAAACCTAAAAAATGGAGTTTTTCTGGCAAAAAGAAAAATTTTGTACGTAACATTCTGGCGAGTATGAATAAATATGACATTCAAGTTCGACCAGGATGACTAGTTTACTGCTTCAACTGTGTTCAATTCTTCAAAAAACTTAGAACATAGTTGGGATATTCATTGTTTCTACACATGTCAGACTTTTTTAAACTTGAAAACCTGATACAGAAGTAAAAACAAACCTTTGTTTTTTGACCAAAACTGAAAATGGTATAATGAAACACCTCTAGTATGGTGCATAGTTTTCTGGAACACACATAGAAATTTGGAGAAAAAAAAATGATCATGACAAAATATTTTCTTTGAAAGTACAATACAAGGAACTTGTTTCTAACTAAATCAAAGCATTATTAGTTTTAGTTCTCAAGTTAAAAAATAGTGCTATTAAATAAGTAGCCAAAGTATTAATTTTTGTACATTAGTTTTGTTTACAAAATTAACTTGTATGATCATGTAACAGTAATGAAAATCACTGAAAGGACTTGAAAAAATGTTACATTCTGTGTTTGAGTTTGTTTAGAAATTCTGAAAATTAGAAAATAAATGTGAGTATTTACAAGAAATTACAAATTCTTTTGATATAAATAACATTTGAAGAAACTTCTATGATATCCAAGTTGCTAAGTCATAGAGAATGTAATTATTCCTATGTTTCTATCTTATAAAAATAAAATACTATATTGTTGTTTCTCCGGTGACATAAATTGTTCCTTTCATCAACAGTTGAACGTAGATGTTGATAGCATTTGTTTAACTTCATAAATCTTATATGTTGTGGGTTTCAAACCAAAATTCTATGCTAGTTATCTTTATTTTACAGAATTGTAATTTGTTTTGTACTATTTTCCAAAATGTCTCTATTATGATTTCTCTTTGGATGATATATAAAGTAGAAGTGTTGTGTTAATATATTCTAGTGTGTTAATATATTCTTGTGTGTTAATATATTCTAGTGTGTTAATATATTCTTGTGTGTTAATTTAGGCACTGAGTCACTTAGAGAGGCCATTGAAGAAACAGAAACATGACAAACGGCTCACTGGTGCCAACATTATTGATGAACCACTCCAAGAGGTATATACATTAGACTTTCTTAGAATCTGCTACAAAAATGTTCACTTTCCTGATGTGGGTTAAGGGGTGAGCCCTCACATGAGTGAAGGTTCTGAATGTAGGTTAAGGGGTAAACCTTCACACAAGTGAAGGCACTGGATGTGGGTTAACAATTTCCACATGTGGTGCCACTTATTGAGGTCTACAATTATCTAACTGTACTGATGTAAGGACATATTTACAGTTGTTTAAACATCATGCTAACTTGTGGTGCTACTTATTGAGGCCTACAATTATCTAACT